GGAAGCGTGGGGTAGCGGATCGTGTATAATAAAAATTTTCATAAAATCTTTTGGATACTCTATAGATTATATTAATTTATACACGAATAAATTAATCACATTAATTTATTAATTAAGAACTTGAATAGAAATTATACCTAGCGACCAATTAGAATAATAACTTGAGTTCTTTGATCTTGAACAATCCTCGCTCCAATGCTTTGTTTAGAAAACCTGAGCCTTACTCGTCAATTCCTTGAATCTACGAAAACGTGTGTGTGGGCACATCTGAAACAAAACGGGTTAACAAAAACACTTAAGAATTTCCATGAACACCAATGCATACATAACGTGGAATGTTTTGGAGAAAATTTTTCCTCTCACAACCCTTGTGAATTTCGGCCACTATAAAAATAAGAGCAAAAAATTGTTTCCAAAAATGGTGTCACACAATTTTCTACTATCTCCTTATTTATAGAATAGTAGTTAGACTCCTAGAAGAAGGTCTCATCTTTGTCTCCAAGATAAAACTTATCAATTATCTCCCATTTGAATTTGGAACAAATTCTTCCTTTCTTTATCCACTAATGGCCGGCCATAGATAGGGGATTTTATCCCTGTGTAGGCGCCAATATCAGATAGGGAAGGAAGAGAAAATCATCATTTATCCTGCAGTCCAATTTAACTCAAATTCAAATTCCAATTTAAGTCAAACTCAAACTAATTTAAATTTTAAATTGAATAGCTTACCAAATAAGTTTAAATGGATAATTCCACAAGTGTTCACACTGTGTGTTCATACTATGTGTTCACACTATGCCTTGCGTTCACACTATGAGAACACATTCACATAAGTGATCCAAAAGTCAAATTTAAATTTAAATAATCACATTATTTAAATGATAATTAATTCTCAATTAATTGTCCTTGAGTGTTTAATTTTAGAATTCTGTAATTCTAAAATTCTCATTTTGCACTTTAGTGTCTTGCAGAATTACAAGGACGACGTGGGGACTCATGGACCTATAATTTCGAGCTCCAATAAAATTAATAATTAATTAAACATTTTAATTAATTAATTAATCTTATTAATTCCAATAGTTACTCCACTATAAACTTGGAATTGCACTCTCGTAATTATAGATATAAATTACTTC